CTCAGCATTTGTTTTTCATTTAAACTCTAGAAGAAGAGATCAGTAGTGGAATGTCCCAGTCAGATTTGAGTCATGAATTACTCTATACAGGAAAGTGATGGATTTCTCAAACTGTATTTACTCTGCTTTGATTTGCAGACTTGTGTAATGTCTCTCAAAAGACATTTTCCAGGATCTAAGTTCACTTTGGTGTTTTTTTTCCTGCAGATGCAGTAGAAAAAGGTCTCACTGCTGTTACTGAAAGCTTGATTGCATCTCTATGTCCAATCATTACAGACAAATTGATGAAGTCACAGTTTATGGTAGTAGCCAGGATCCATGGCAAACTTTTAAAAGTGCTTGATAAATGGATGTATGTAATCACACACAACAGAATGCTGCACTATAAATATAGGTATGTGTCATTATAAATTGCTCTAGTGTGGACACATGCATCATATTGAACCAAGTCATAATGACAGACTTCTGTTTTGCCTCTTCCTTAGCTCTGCAGCTCTCTTAATTTATTCTGTCACTTATAATGAGAAAAGTAGATGGAATCTCTAACATGAACATTTTAATACCTTGCAGAATTTTATACAGACTTTAAATATTTACTGTGATCATGTTTAAGTATTCCTGTCATCTACACAAGGATGTAAACTGTTTGAATCTTGCTAATTTTTTCAGCCATGATCATTCATTTTGCTCATGAACTTTGTAGTCTAAGTCTATGCTGAATGAAAATTGTCTATTTTTATCAGTTTAAAATTTGCTGTCTTTCAGTTTCAAGAAAATTGAGAAAAGCTGTTACTATGGGAAAAAAAACCTCAATAGTTATTTCTGAGGCACTCCTAGTATAAACTTGGGTCATGTTCCATTTTATGCATATTCTCTCTATAACAAACTTTTTTCATCACTTATCTCTCTCTGTACCAAGAATAAACTTCACAGGCCAACTAGAAGTGAATGCCACCCTGTTGTAATAAAATATTGGTTTTATTCAGGGGCAAGATCAATAGATAATAGGTTTTCATTGAGTTCTTCACAGTGGCTTTAGCTACCATGCTCTTGGCAACCATGCTCGAATTTGAACTCCTTCTCTCCCAGCTGTGTGGTTCAAGGCAGTTCCCCTCCTCGCAGAGAACTTTCTGGGCCAGTATTTGGGTCACTGCAGATGAGAAGCAGTCTGAGAGCCAGCAGGGAGGGAGCAGGGTGACAGGGGTATTTGGGATTGAAATCAAAGTGTTACAGAAAGTATAGATTCACCTAAAGGCACTGAAATATTTTATTCCTTATTGTAACAGGAAGTTTACATGCTTGTGAGGAACACAAATGTGGTCAACTTGGCAGTGTTAGGTTTATTGTTGGATTGGACTCAATAATCTTAAAGGTCTTTTCTAGTTTTAATGATTCTGTGTTAAACTATACAAATAGGTCACTTTTCTATGCTGAATTGCCATTACATTGCCATTTGCCATCAGCTGCCATCTAACTTAGCTGTTAATAGATCCTGTTGAAACTGTGTAAGGTCCTAACATAAATCACTCATATGTGAAACTTGTTGTTCTGCACTGATCCATTCCCAAAGAAATAATAAATATATTTAACAACCTCATTCATACTGTGAAAAATTGGAGACACTTGCTATTTACCATATGTACAAAATGATAATTTATTAATACTCTTTGTTTTCTGACTTTTAAATCATCTTCTGACTACATGGCATCATTTTAGACAAAAACAGACATGTATTTCCTGGCTGCAGTTTCTTTGAGCTAGTCAGATCATTTAGCAGCTGGAAATGCATTTACTGACCTTGAAAATCTATATTTTAGAACTTAACAGCCACACCTGGTAGTGTGGTAATACATCTGGAATTATGCTGTTTTTTTCCTAGACCAGCCTTGCTTGACTTTGGTTTAAAAGAACAATACAATATTGAAATAGACTGAATATTTTGTAACTAAGACTACTAAACTACTAAAAAGCTTGGCAGCTTCATTTCAAGAAGAAATAATATTGTATGAAAGACTTTCTACTTAGCTAAAATGAAATTATTAAGTATTTTATTAACTGATTCTTACAGTTACAAAAAAAATTCATAGTGCTGGGGCTGGTAGTGCCCAGCAGATTGCTGAAAAAAGAGGATTAGCAGAAATGCTGCCACCTGGATTGAGACCGGTGATCTTGGTTCACTTCTTAAGGCATACACCTTAAAGTAATATATAATCTCAGTGGGCAGGAAGGAAATGAATGCCAGAAGTGACCTGGTTAGTCATGCCACAGTCAGAACTGCTGGAGCCAGACTGACTAGGTTCTCTGATGTGCTTTAATTGCTGCTGAAGGAATATTTTTTAGTTATAGAAGACTGCTTTGCCATCAGATGTATACTTTTCATGAACCTTGCATTCACGTACAAGTAGCACTAACTGAGGTATAACTAGGGCTTGAGGACTAAAGCTTATTATTTCTTGAACATCTTTCCCTGAAACATTTACATATGTCTCAGAATTAAGAAAAGGCAAGGAATAATCACACTGTATTTATGACTCTTTGAAGATACTATGTATGAAATAATAACAGGAAGTAATTGTGCTCCTCTAAGAAATTTTTTTTCGGGTTCTTTTTTCCTTACATCTTGTATGATATAACCTATTATACTTTAAATGAAGAAAAATTTCAAGTTAACTGTTAATGCCTGGGAAAGACTACATAGTATACAATCTCCTCCATTTGGCTTACCCTTATATTCACCTTTATATTTTTACAACTCTTACTTATTTTCCTGTTTTGAACTAATTTTGAAATCTTGAAAACAATGTTACATTTGACTACCAAGCAAATAAAATGAGCATCCTATTTGTGGAGGTCACAGTAACTGAAAATCAAGAGAAGTAATGAAAAAATATTCAAACATGAAAAATTTATTATTTTATAAGCAGATGGTGATTTATGTAAAAAAAAAGCAGCAATAAGAAGGATAAAAGAAATATCTTCGAAACACAATGTTCAGGTGTGAGAAATGAGAACTGTCACTACCTGAAAGAAAAAAAAAACCCTAAATGAACATGATTAATATTTACTGGAGTTTTTAACATTTGAAGAATGGGACAGAAGTAATTTCAGAGGCTAGAAAATGTGTCTCTTCCAAAGTAAAGCTGCTGGAGGCAGACTGGCAGGATGCTCCAAAGTTGTAGTGATACTGTGTCTCAAGTTATTTCAATGAAGGCTCAGAAAGCAGATGCTGGAATCAGGTTTTGAATTTAGAAGTCTGCTACCCTGGCCACAGAAATAATGGATGATAGCAAGTCTCCACTTTTGTATCTTTGATACACGTCAAGAGATTGTGACAGATAAGGAATAAGAGGTTGTCAAACCTCTGCTGCAGAGAACATTTGGGACACTAAAGGTCAACAGGACACCAGTATTAAACAGAAATCTTTGTTTCCAATTCTGTTTTAATCCCAGCACTGTATGGAAGTCATTACATAGAGCCTAAGCCTGTTCAGCTGCATGTGCTTCTCTGTAGAAATTAGTTAGAAATATGCAAATAATATAAGGAAAGAATCTGTCACTTTGCATACTATTTGTATGTGAACACAAACTTTTGGCTTATGGTTAATACTCCCTACCTCTGGCAGTGACCAGGAAGGATGTGGAGTGGCAGACAGTGACAATTTTGGCATGTGGGCAAGGACAAGACAATAGTTATGTGGCAGTACAGAAGCAGGGCATGTGTATTTGTAGGGACGTGTGGCTGTGTGCTGGGGTATCAGAGGACACCTGGAGCGTGCACGTGGCTGAAGGGGGACTCAATTTCTGGTATTCTCAAGACTGGATGAAAAGATGGTAAATAAATTATTGAAGGTCTTAAAGATGAAGACACCTGACTTCAGAAATATCAATGGTGTAATCTGTCTAGCAGCTCCTGAGCCCACAGATGAATGCAGGTATCTGGGGAAAAACTGGCTGGCAGATATGGAAAGAGATTCTGTCAGAGCTGGAGTTCATGAGCTGAGAGCTCTATCCCAATTCCCTTTCTCAACAGAGCTGAAGGTCTTGTCTGCTTGTCCTTCCCTGTCTGCCCCAGCAAGAGGAGCAGCTGCAGGGACATTCCTTGGTTATCCAAACCCTTGGCAGTGCAACTGCTCCTGCAGGCTGAAACTCGGCATTAGGAAGTGTCACAGTAATGTGCCAATGTAGTCAAATCAAGGCTCCATGGGGTCTAATGCTCTGACATTTTGCTTCTTAACACCACCAACAGCAATGCCAATTATTACAGCTCGTATTTACCTAGAGCAGCTCATTTCAGCCTGGCCACAGTCAGTCCCTGGATTGCAATGGCTACTCACCAAAAAGCCAGAGCAACTGGAGCTGCTTCAGCTGATCCAGAATTGGGAAAGGCCTTGTACTTAATTTCAAAGCCTTTCAAACCCTGCTCCTGTGGTGCTACACAGATCACAGACACTTACTTCAAGTGTGTTTAAATAAGCCTACCCTTAGTGAATGTCGGCCTATACCGAATGCTCCCTTTTCATCAATGATGCAAATGGTTTTGACTAAACTTTAATATGTGGTTTTGACTAAACTTTATATGTGTGCATGTAAAACTTCCCATTTTTGTCTTGAATAAAACTCATCATTGTCAGGAAATGGGCATCTCCTACCTAGATTTTCCTTGTAACTCGTATTACTGAACACACAGCTACTATAGAGTGACTCCACGGTACTACACCCTGCAGAATCACAGCAACGTTTATTCAAGTTGGAAGAGGCGTCCAAGATCACCGACACCAAGCTCGGGCAGGTCTCCACCAGGAGAGCCACAGCTGGGCTCCAAGTGCCACCTCCAGCGGCCACCCGCAGGTTCCGCGGCCACCTCAGGCTGTCCCGGCCCCCCCGCTCCCTCCGCCCCGGGGCCGCCTCAGCGGGCGGGGCGCGAGCGCCTCCGGGAGCCGCCCCCGCCCCGAGCCGGGCGGGACGCGCCGTGCGCATGCCCAGCGGCGCACGAGGGCGGAAGCGGCTCCCTGCGCGCCTGCGCAAGAGGGGATTCCGCCCGGCGCCGCCGTACTTCAACATGGCGACCTAGGCCGGCCGCGCCAGCGTCACCGCGGGCGGGAGGGCGAGCGAGGCCGTCGCGGCCGCTGTCGCCGTCATGTCGCGGCACAGGAACGTCCGAGGATATAACTACGACGAAGGTAGCGGTTACGGCGAGCGGGCGCTGGTGGCAGAGCTGCGGAGGTCGCCGCGGGTGCCGGTCCCTCCGCGCTGCCCTGGCCCGTGCCCCTGCCCCGGCCGGGCCTGCCGTCCCGGCGGCCGCGGGCAGGAGGGTGTGGCGGGGCTCGCCCGGCGGCAGGGGAGGGCCCGGGGGGCTGTCAGGGCCGGTGGGAGGGGAAAAGCCTCCCCCTCGCCTCCCCTCCAGGGGCGGGGGTTGGGCGCGGCTCCGGGCGGGGCCTGTTCCCGGCCCGTTTCCCGCCCGAGTGGCCGCTCTGCCCCCCAGGGCCTCCTCCTGCTTCCACACGGGCAGAGCGTGGCCTTGGTACGTGGTCCAAGCCACAGCTGCATGGCCTTGAGCTGCCCAGATTGACTCTGCTTTTTAGTAGCGGCACTGACTTGAAAAAAGCCTCAGTGCGGTTGAATCCATCCATCTTTAGTCTTGAAAAATTTAAAAATTTGTATTCACGACAAAACTCTACCAAAGTGTTAATAGACAGGAGTTAACAACTGTTACTTGAGGAAGAAATGTACTTCCTAAAGATGGAGTTGTGCATGTAGGGAATAATCTCATTTTCAGGCACCTGTCTTATTTTACTTACAGAATGACGAAGTTTTTCCATGAGAGCTTGGCTTGTACCTGCAGTTCTGCAGCTTTCTTTGTGCCCTGGCCCCATTAACTTACACCAACTGTAAATCCGAGTATTTTCTTTTTCCCCTGAAAGTCTTTCTTTTTGTTGGCTTGGGTTGTGGAGAAATGGACACACTTCAGTTCATAACAATATTCTGAAGAGCCTTTGGTAGGAGAACAGGAATTTTGTTGCTTCACTTTGTCAGTTTATTAAAAAAATGCAATATATGCTTCAGCCTGCCTCTGGTCTTCTGTTGAGTGAACAGACTACATGGTTTTTATGTATTACAGTAGTACAAATTGGGTTTTGCACTCTGATATTGGAATTTCTTGGAAGTTGTAAATTCATGTGAGCTGTGCTGGCTGTGTTCCCACCTTGCAGTTTCTACTAGTGTAAATTTACCTAATATAGGTAATCCTGAACTAGATTGGGAATTTTACTGCTTGGTTATTCATCCTCTAGAGAACATTTTTCATCACAGACTGGTTGAAATGTTGAATTCAGCTGAGTTGCTGGCTTTTACAAAGTTGAGTGTGCAGTCCCTGGAGTTAATTTCACTATTAACACACTCATCAGACTCTTGCAATGAGTTTGCTCAGATACACCGTAGCTGTAGCTATTAAGTTGCTTTTTGCTTTTGGAAACATGACTGTGAGGTGACGTGTCAGGGCTTTGCCCTTGTGCCATATGTTTCTTTTGTAGTCACACAGAATCATTTATGACCCAAATGAAATAGACTTTGTATCTTCTCTGTTAAAGGCAACATGGTTTTTTTATGCTGCATGTGGTTCTGTAATGCCCCGATTATGAATCGCACTTCTAAGCTAAATATTTACAGTATTTTTTGGTTTCCTCTCATAAGAAGACTTCTGAGGCCTTAGATCTTCTGGTCTTTATTTGACCATGCTCCATTTTTCCCCCTCTCCTTTCTGAGATATTGTGCTCATAACCAAATGTGATATTCCATCTGCAAATATCTTGACAATACAGCTGGAATGCTTCAGTAGCTTCTACTCTGTTCTCTGTAATTTGTGTAATTTTTAAATGCTAATTTTTATGGTCAGTGCATGCTGTGATCTGTCTTTTACAATAATAAAGAATAGATGTAACTTGTGAAACTGCCAAGTTCAGTAGTGTCTTTAATAATAGTTTGTTGCTTTTTTCATGTATTTCATTATTACTTAATGAAAATTATGCTATTTTTTTGAGATTGGCATAATACTAGGATTCATTTTAGGAGAGAAAGGTGCATAACTTACTCTTTTATTTTTTGGTGCCTTTTTTTTTTCCTGAGGAAAGAACATTTTTATCTTTAAGTAACTGTTTAAGATACTTGCTTTTTACCTGAAACAATTTTGCATATTCGAAGAGAATTGTGAATTGTTTTTTTTTTGCCTTGCTGAACTTCATTTGAAAGGTGGATGGGTGTGAGCATAAAACAGAGAAGAAAGGTGAGAGATGCATAGGAGTGGAGTAGAAATGCTGATCTGAGTTGTTGGGAGTAGAAATTGTGATTGAACTGCCTGTCTGGGGTGAAGACTGAGAGGTCAAACAGAAATATCAAGAGAGGTGCCATGGGTAAAAATTTGTGGAGTGTAGAAAGTTAGATTTAGTCTGTGAGGGCAAAGGAGATGCTGAAGGAGGAGGTGTGAAGTATGGTAGCTCTTGAAAACTTTCAGCCTAATGAATAGACTATTAAATGTTAAATTGTATTATTGTAAGAAAATTGTTATTGGAACTTGGAAGGTTATTTCTCACCTAGGTAAATAAACAGAACCTCACTGTACTTCTGGAATACAGGAGATACATTATTTCATAAAACCTTGTGCAAAATATATGGTTTGGATTATAATATTATTTAGAAATTGTGCAGATTAATCTTGCTGTTTTTGCTTCATAGACTTTGAAGATGATGATGTGTATGGCCAATCAGTAGAAGATGATTATTGCATTTCTCCTTCAACAGGTTAGTTCAAATATTTATCAAGTATTGTTCATTGATACCTGTTCTGAGATTTATTTCTAAATGAAAACAAATTTTAAAAGCGAGGGACACTTTTGAAAAGTGCCTAGTGGCCATAATCCTGTTACAGTCAGTTGTGCAGTGTTAGGCGTTGGACGTTTGAAAGTCCCATTAAACAACTGGCCGCATCTTGAGTCCTACAAGTATATTATCCTAGATGGTTGGAATGTACTTGTTATTGTAAAAATCTGCTCTGTGGGAATGTGTTGATAACCTTGAAACATTTGGTGTCTTTTCCTGTGGTTAGTAGGATCTACCTGGGCTTAGCTGTTGTTATTGTGTACCTGGTAGCTGATGTCTTCTACGCACCTTTGAGTAAACGTGGGCAGGGAGTCTCATTGTGGGTTGCAGTGCTGGTCCTCTCATGCAAGGTCACGTGGAGCTAATCAGCCTTCCAGCATCTGCGGTGTTGCAAAGTAGGTTTAAAAACAGCAATGGCTGTGTGCTCAGGTAAGGCATCATTGCAGGGGCTCAGCCCAGCTGATTTCAGCCTGGCTGTAGAACCGTTAAGTTGTGCTCTCCAGTCAAGTCTCTGGCAAGATTGTCAGTTTAGGGTTTCCCCAGATTAGGTGCCAGTGTTTCTAGAGCTGAGTAGGCCCTGGAAATAGTACAGCTGGTGTTGACATGAAGCTGTGTTACTGCAGGTAACTGGTTTAGATCTAATCCACTGTGACTGATGTAGTGTGTGACCTCTGGCCACAGGAACTTGAGATAATTAAGTCTTTAAAACTCTGGTGTTCTCCCATGCTGTTAATTTCAGTGATGGAAATCAGCAATGTGTACCTTTTGCTCAAGTATAGATTGATAAAAGGCAAAATGAATTCCTGACTGTGCACAGTAATTTTCCTAAGAACTCTATGTGTGGAAGCTTAAATTATAAAATAAACTCATGTACATTGTAGAACAGTGTTACTAGTTGCTTCAGTTATGGTGATTGAACATGAAGCGGTGTGTATGCTTTTGGGAAACAGTTGCTAGGAATTGCTACTTCTGGATATACACCTGCTTTCAGTATGGATTTCAGAGCTGGGGAGAATATTACCTGGCATAAGGCAATTTGTTTACATTATGCTTTGCACATTTCTGAGAGACTGCAATGACTGGGGCTCTTCTTCAATGAGGATTTCTGTCTGTATATGCCTTAATGTCGCTAAATCAGAGTGAAACCATGCACTTGTTTAAAGTTTTGTGTGAACATTTTTACTCATGGGCTATATTTCTAATGAAATTCCAAGAAAGAAAGGATGTGTTCATTTCCATTAAATTCTTATCAGTAATTTAACAGTCTCATACTATAGTCACATACTTTAAAAGCCATGCTAATTTCATGCGAACTTTTTACAATTCAAACTGAAACTGGTTGAAAATTCAAATTCAAAAATAATGTAAGGTTCTGAAGACATTAAGCCATAGATTCATATAGAAAATACTGTTTCTCAAATCTGGAATATAATCTTTTTTGTAATGTTGAACTTTGCAGAATTATTGCATTTCATTCATACAAGGATATTGCCCAGCCTGTGGTTTCACCGTGAGGACCAATTTATTTATATTCTAGCATAAGCTGTTGTATGCTCTGTGCAGTCCTCAGTGTGTAGCCATGACACAGTAGTGTCTCACCACCCCCTTGAAACCACTGCAACAGTTCAGCATCCTAACTTATTCTGGCAAAATGAATTCCTGACTGTGCACAGTAATTTTCCTAAGAACTCTATGTGTGGAAGCTTAAATTATAAAATAAACTCATGTACATTGTAGAACAGTGTTACTCAGCATCCTAACTTATTTTACCTTTAGTTATGTTTTGCTTTTAAAGGAGGAAAAAAATTTGAGTTTTTTTTTAATACTTTGTTTTTTACCTAATGCAGCAGCTCAGTTCATTTACTCCAGACGAGACAAGCCAGGCACGTTTGCTGAGCCATTAGAAGAAGAATATGGCGATGAAGGTACTGGTGCTGCTGCTGCTGATTGTTTTACACCCACTCATCAGTTGACTGAAGTTGATAGAGGTAATTATAGAGAAGAACTATCAGAATAATCTCTTATATGAATTAAAGATTTACTAGAATAGTCTTAAATTAATGTTTCTTAATCGATGTTGCTCACAATTTTGGAATTTTATTATAAAACAATACCCTTCTGGGAGCTACCTTCGGTGGTCATTCTTCAAGTTCATTACTACCTTTTGTGTACTACTTGTAACTTGGTTGCATACATTGAAATGTGTTCTTAGTTTCTAACTAGAAAAAATGAAATTTTATGTGGAGACATTAGAACAGCTGTACTGACAGCTCAGATCTTGACTCTTGAATATTATAAAGTGAGTATTAGTATTAGAATTTCTTTCTGCTTTGCATTCCAAATTATAGCAATTAGCAGTATTTAAGGTTTTCAAAGTCTCTCATTTCGCCTTGAAAGAGTAGCCAATATTCTGTACAATCTTTTCTTTCCCTTACCTTTTGAGTTTGTAAGACTTTCATTTCCATTCAGTCTTGCAGTCATGAATTCCATGTTACAAGCTGAGTTCTGAACTGAGTGGTTGGGGAAAAATACTTGCTTTTTATTTTTAAACTTGCTGCCTAATTGCCTAATTACTTGCTTTGTGAAAAAGATTCACAAGTCTCTTTCCTAAGTGTTAATAGTTAATATAGTTTTGGAAATAATCAGGGTTTTTTTAAAAATGTTGAAAAGATCAGACTAAAGTGTTTTGAAATTTGGTACTTAAAGAAGTTGCAGAAAATTCAGAACAGTGAATTAGAAAGAATTTTAATTCCATATCAAGTAAATTGGTAGAAGTTAAGCTAATGCTTGGAGATAGGGTTACATATGATACATTGGGGAATAATACACATGTTTTTACAGCAGGAAATAAAGCTGTGGAGGGCAATTTGAAAGAATGAGCCAGTATAATGATACAGGTGATCCAGACAATGCAGTCCTCTGGTTTTGCAGAATGCTTTTGACAGACTCAGTTAAGACCTGGTATTGGAGCAGGAAGGAAAGTAATATTTTAGACTAAAAAAAGAGGGAAAAGAAACCTCAAAATATCCACTTCTACTGTGAAAACAGCAGTGGTCTCACAAGACCTGTTACGTTTGATACAGTATGTAGTGTTGGCCATTAATACAAAATTATTGATGTAGCTAGGGTGGCTGCAAAGAGTTCCACAAGGTTATTCTTGTTGGGTATTAGATGGTAAAATGGCAACCAGCACATTGTGCAGGCTCTGCCCACACTTGTTTTTCAGGGCAAATGTCTGCAGAAGATTCACTTGCTATTTGAATTACAGGTAAAGGGTGCTAATATAAGTAACCTCACGGAGGTAGGAATTCTGTAGTATTGAATTCCCAAACTTCTTTAAACATCTTCTAGGAAGTGTTCAAATAAAAAGATGTAGCTGTCTTCCTGTTCTTCAGGTCCTGTTTTCTAAAATCTGAACTGGCAGAAACTGGGATTTCAGGAAGATTTTCTTCTGCTCTTTAGTGTTTGTATGGCTTCCAGTGAGGGGCAACCTGATGAATTTTCAGTCTTCTGTTGTGCAGCAAGTACCTTAGTAAAGGCTTATAGTAGTTGCAGAAATATACTCCAAAGAAAATTGATTTTATCAGCCAAAAAATATCTTAAAGTTTTAGAAAAATACCGGTAAAGATTACGGGTAGTTTGAAACCTGCCATGTTGTTCCAGGTTTTGAGTTGTTAAGGCCTGAGGACCCTGGAAATATTGTTTTACTTTGGGTGTTAATTGTATCATCTGTAAACACTTAAAATGTGCTGTTCAATGGGATTCTACGTTTACTTACTCTATTGCTTTGGATAATTTCAAGGTGATTATTTGTATTTCTTCTCTGCAGTGAAGATAGTTATTTTACACATCAACATATTTCAGTACTGAGACTTTCTAGATTAATAGCAATATGTTCTTTATTGCAATATCTGAAGTAGGTCAAATATTCTGCAGGGTGTGGGAACAAAGTTTATCAGGGCAGTAGATGAGATTGAAATTATTTTCTAAAGGTTTTAACCCTTAGTGTAATATTTTTCCCTTCTGTTTGCTAATCAGAGGTGTGGTGCTAGGGGTTAGGCCATTGAAGATGTATTTTTGGGCAGCTTATAACAGTGATGTGTTTCTTTCAGCTCGTCTTAATTCATGCCTTGATCAAATGAGAGAAGTTTTGGCGGAGTCCATACCGGAGCAAACAATGGTGCAAGCAGCACTGGATACTAAATTCGATGTACAAAAGGCTTTGGATCTTGTGCTTTCACAAGGCTGTAAGCAAAATGTGAAGACCAAGAATAAGGATGCTGTGATTTTAGCAAAGACTACAAAAGGTATACTTAGATTTAATTGCTTACATTCAAGGTGATTCATTTCTATCTACAGTTTAATTTGGGCTTTACAAACTGTGAAGACACTTATCAATGCAATAGTCATTTCTTGGAAAATGAAAGATGACTGACTTGCTATATGTGTGTTCTAAAACATTTCAAAGAAAGAGCTTTTCTTGAGCTAGAAGTCAAAATAACACCTCAGAGTCAGTTTAAATTCAAGCTGTGACCATCTGCAGTTCATAATAGATTTCTCATTTATAATATATGACTTAACGGAATTAATGCATGTCTTTAAATTTGGAAAGCATCTTTAAATTTTTAGTGCTTCTGTTATTTATTTGGTAAACTGACATCACCCATCCCTAGTATTTCCCTTTTTGGGCAGTGTCTATACAGTAGCTTTCTTATTCTGATTTGTACTTAAATGTCTGTAGTCTTTATTGACATTCTCTGCTGATTCTTAAAGTTCTTTATGTATTTCAGTAGATACCTGTGATGTACATGTAGAACATTCCTTACCTGTGGATGACACTTAGTAATTAAATGCCTTTTCATGTTTCTTGATTTATTTTTTTTTGGTTGCTGCTGTCAACTTTTAAAAAATGGGATATTTCATTGTGACTGGACTTCCATCTGAAAATCATTGGCTATTGTAAGGTAAGGAGACTTATGTTGTTGTCCAGAAATGTGTGTTGATACAGACAGTTTCTCTTGTGCAGTAGACAGTTTTGCTGACAACACCAACAAACCTGGTTTTGGAAACTTGACAGCCAAAAGTGATTCAGCTCTCTATTCTTTAACTACAAATTTTGAAAAATCCAGTATACCTTCATGTGAAAGGAAAGGATTGAAATCCTCTTCATGTGCTCTGTCATCTGCATTCAGTGATGATTTGTGCAAAGGATCATTTTGTGCACCTCTGAATAAACAAGCAGAGACGCAACTACCACAAAGTGCTAATGCAGTAAGTTTGGTTCCTGACAGTCAAGATGTTTACTCTAGCATAGGAAGTAACCTACTGAAGTGCAAGGAAACGCAGGACTTGAAATCCTTGCTGATGCAGGATGTGGTTTGTGATTCTTTGAGTCCTGATTGTAATAGTAATGCACATTTTTATAGTCCTTCATGTTTAGCAAGTGCTTTAGGAAACTCTGTTGTTGATAATGAAGTCAGTCATACTATAAATAAAAAGAATGAACTTCTTGAAAGTTTATCTTCACTTGCACAAAGTAGAAAGCAAGAAAGCCTCTCTTCAGACATGGCTGCTTTGCCAGTATTAAGATCTGGAAATACATCATTGGCTGACTTGCTTCAGGAGCACCAGGAAAGCAGTGCTAGCCACTGTTACTCTTTGGCTGATCTTTACACCCAGTCAACAGCAAATCTCACTGATAGGAAGTTGGGATCCTCATCATTATCACAGCTAGTAAATCAACCCCAAACTTCAGGTGGGATGCCAGAGCTAACAGGATCTTTGTCTTCTCTGGCCCTTTCTGAAGTTTGTCCAGTAAAGGAGATTGAGAATTTATCACTCTCAGATTTAATAGCAGAGACTATTGAAATAGATAAAACTCAGCAAGGGATGGACTTGCCCATGCACAATGTAATTGAATTGAAGCCCTCCCAAGGAACCAACATTGATTTAAGTGTCCTTGTAAAAAATGCAGATGTATCTACAGAGAAAAGTGTGGTAGGACAGTCAAATATCTTTAGTCCCGAAACGAAACTTGTGAAAGAAAAGCAAGGAAAATGCTCTGGTTTTGCCAAAACTAACAGAAAACCCAAAAAAGGGCATGGTCTTAAGAGGCAGGATTTGTCCCTTTCATGGATAAAGGCTCTGCGTGCAAGACCTTCAGCTTTTGCTTTAACCTTGTGCCTCCGTTATCCTCCCAAAGGGTATAAGCGGTGCACAGTTGGGATACACAAAACATTCCTATACAGTAGACAAGTACAAGATGTAAAACCCAAGGAAACTGTTCCTACAATAGCCATAACACCATTTGATTTCAAATCAGCATCTCCTGATGATATTGTGAAAGCTAACCAAAGAAAAGCTTTTACAAGACAGTAGTGAGGAAAAAACAAAAAAGGCATCAGTGTTGATATTGAATTGTATTTAAAAAAATCAATATAGGACCTATTTATGATCCAGAACTGATTTTTTTATTATTATTTTTTAAATTGACATATTACAATTCTTGCTGATAGGTAGAAATTTGTATGTGAACTTTTAAAGTGCTGCACTGAATATCCTAATTTTTGCATAATTTTCACTGACAGGTTAACATTTTTAACTTTTGGAAAGTCTTGAACTCTACAGATATTGCATGTGCAAAATTCTGTAAACACCATTAGACTTCTTGAAATATCGCTTTAGGTGTTGAAGATGCAGTTCATTGGGACAAACGGTGAATTATTATTTTGTAAAGTAATTTACTTTTGCTATATGGTGTATAGTTTGGGGAGCAGGAACGTCAGTTTATATCACAACTGTTTTATGAAATGTTCTTAAGGTTAGATTTTCTGATAAAGGTATGTTATTAAACTATCAGTCTTATAATGGATGTTTCCAGTCAATGTCATTATTCTATCTTGATACTGATCACACTATTACAACAGAAATGCCTTTAGTTTTTAAAAGCCTCAAAGACCTCAGGTTTTGACAGTTCTGGTTGTGGTAGTACATGTGTAGTTTTTGATAGGACCAAATTTGTAGGGGAGCAAACAAATTGTTGTTGTACCCTGCGACTCCAGTTAGCTATCAGAATGTGATATCCAGCATTTTAAACCAGCAATTTTATAGGTATGTACATGCTGCATGTATTTCATAAGGAGTTTCCCTAGGATTCTATTGTTTATCCTCAAGCCTTTTGGAGAAGTGCTGAAGTTTCAGTACTTTCAACTGTAGCATGAAAGTCTTTGCTCACTGAAAAAAAAATAAGGCAAAGCCTAAGTGCTGTTTGTGTCTGCCTCTTGTCTTTTTTGATGAAAACTTCCTTCAAAAATGGAAGTGCATTCTCTTCCTCTGTTTGTACACATTGCAGTTACTTTGAATCCTTAGATGAAAGATCCAAATCAGAACATTCTGGACTTATTATGGTGCCCCATTATTCAAATTAGTAGCTGCATGTATGTTTTAACTTTCCTTTTAGTACACATTATGACCTCTCATATATTCCCAGTGTCATTGCCAGTATTTTAGATTCAGAACAGCAATAAGTTCAGTAGAGATACTGCTGCAACTAGAAAAATGTGTGTTTGTAAACTAAAGCTAAACTTGGCAGCTAGTATGAAACAGCAGATATGACTTTCATCTAGTTTTAATCCAATTTTTTTGAGCATGTTAGATCAAAAAAAATACAAAACCTTTAGGTTTATTCCTGACTTCAGATTGCACTACGACTTGTTTCTAAATAAAATAAAACAAAACAAAACATGTTCCAGTTCTCAGGTACAAATTTAATGGTCTGTATATTTTGCTTGTCTATACATCTGTTTGTCTAGTTGATGCATCTGTCACTTAGGACTAAGAGCAGTGTGATTTTTTGACCTTGTGAATGAAATTAATGTTTCTTACCCTAATAAAAGTTTTATATAATGACAGTGCTGCAGTGTTTATGTTCCAGTTGATGTGTTAATTGATCCTAACCCATTTGGAGTTCCTTTAAAGAATTAAATAATATAATCCAGTGTATATACTATGATCTGACAAGTTCATTAGCGGGAGCATAATTGAATTCCTGAGAAGACTTTCTATGGAAGTCTGGTGGATACTGATCGTTCTACTGTTTGTTTTATTGATTAGTCATAATAGCAAATTCTACTGTGTTAAAAATAAGAAATGCTTTTCAGTGATCTCTTTCTCTGCAGTTAATCCAAGCTTTAACTTCTCCCTGCTTAAAAATCCAAGTCTGTTTTTCCTACTGACCAAAGGGTGCTGTTAGCAGAGTTTGTAATTAAAACTCAACTTTTCCCAAAATTGTGTGTATTTTTCTAGTAGAGAAATTCTGATTTTTCGACATAAAATATGAGTGCAAAGTTTGGCATTGTCATGCCTGTTGTATTTGCAGGTGGGTTTGCTTTCCTGTGTTTCAGATACTCCAGAAGACTTCATTAATGTCAGCAGAGATTTCTAATACATGTGGGTCTTTTAAAGTTGAATAGCTTTGCTTTCCCATCTAAATCTTTTCTCTGTCTGACTTCTCTTTTGGTTCTGGTCTGTTTTCTCATTCCTCTGGCTGCCCTTATTTGCATAAAACTCCATAGCATTTGTTATCATTTTAGAGTGTGAACTGGATGTACAACTAAATATAGGTCCTGTGGATACCATTGGAACAAGTAGTAGGGGACAATGTGTAGTACTAGAAGCTCAGTTTTGGCATAGTCTTCATGCTGATTAAAGCTTGAACAAGTGACTGAAGCCAAAGAGCATCAGCACTGTATGTTTATTATGGATCTTGCTGTGGAATTGTTACCTTAGTAAACAACTTTGGATCTTGTTAGGCAGCTAGATTTTCATATATAATTACTTTTTCATTGGCATTTGACTCTGGTATTAGTGGTCATGATGGAGCAGTATATGCTGTTCAGTGTGTAAACAGTAGGGGAGGGATTTTTCCTCAGTTTGCAATCCTGAATCCTGAAGTGAGCCTTGAATTAATACAGACCTGCAGGCTAAACACTGGAGAAGGTACCTAAGTGGTGGATTAACTTGAATTCCAATTAATTTTCAGCAGAGATTTATTTTCATGCCTAAACAATTTTATAGTTTTGTTTTTCTAAACAAAAAGTATTGTGTCACTATATTTGCTTTTTAAATTAAACAGGTTTTTTAATAATTTCCTTAATTATTTCTTTAATTATTTACTGAGAATGAGTATATGGTTTCAAGGACAGGTTTAATTGTGTTAGAATACTGCATGATATGGTATGTGGCATTTTTGTGTAACAGCTGTGTTTGGCCTTTGCACTGAAGGGTTTGTGCCTAATGAATGTTAGAA